ATCGGTCACTGACATGACTGAAGCATTAATGCTAGCTCAGATCATATTATATTTGTGTGTGTGGTCACTGTGTCAGATTAGGAGATGTTTTAGAAGATGGATTCAGTTTTGGGATTTAATTGAGGCGGAAGTGCCTTCAAGCTGCATTCCTTTTGATTGCCAGCAGGGGGCGACTCTTTGTGCTGCCTAGTCTTTGTGGAACTGTGAAGGTCGTTTTGTAATTTACTAAAGTCAGAAAGGAGAATCATCCAGATGAACTCGTAGACTTACGACTTTTCAGTTATTTGTCCTCTGTTTCTTGGTCACATTCATCACTTCTTCATCAAAATTCTCTTCAAAACAACCGAACGGTGGCGGATAAAAACTTTGCCTTTTGTGAATGAGAGTCACCACAGATGCCACATCCCAGTCAGTCACAGTTGTTATCCAGCCGTTTCAAATGAGAGAACCAAAGTGTTGTGTATAAACTGACATATAGTCTGTTTTACAGTCCTGCGTTTCCAACACCGGCAACATCGTTTCTCTTTTGTTTTTGTCATCTTCAGCTTCACGGAAAACTGGAGAAGGTTCCGGAAACTGAAGCGTAAAAATCCAAAAGCTTATCTGAACCTTACTGTGATCTGATCTCCTCTTTAAGGTCATTTTCAGCATGTCTTTTTCTTTCCTCCATTCTGACCACTCTCACTGTGTGACTTCACCATGGACCTCACATTAGTGCAAAGAACGAACATCAACTTTTACTTTAAACTGATCCAGAGTTCGTGGATGATCATCGTTGGTGATGAGAGCTGAATCTTTAGCTATGACCAAGCAGTTTCCAGTCCAAAGGCAGCACATCAGGTTGAGGAAACTTAGAAGAATGCTCTGCATTTTTTTTCAACATTTATCTGGTTGTGCATCATGGATTCGTTCCCCAGCACAAGGCTGTGGATACAGAGTTCTGCTGTGACATCCTGAGGTGTCTGAGGGAGCAGATTCAGATGCAACGATCTGAACTGTGGGGATTTTCAGCCACAGACATTCAGGCTTCGCTCACCACCTGTCTAACACCCCAGATTTGCCTCCTTGTGACTGTGTTCCCTTCCTGAAAGTATAAAATCATGAGAAGTATAACTTCAGACGCACGAGAGGCGATCAAGCGGCGTCGCAGAGGAGCAAGCGCAAGGAGACACAGCAGCAGTCATCTAAAAACCGCAGCCACACTGGTGATCAAAAGTTTACAGTTTTTGATTTTCACACGTTGATTCTTATCAAACTTTAAAAATATGTAAAGCTTAACGTTTCAGACGATGATGTATTGTTTGCAAAGTGTTCTCTTTGTAAATTTCTTTCTGAGGAGCTGCAAGGAGGAAAAAATGTGTTTGTGCGAAAGTATCCACAGCAGGATAAACAGTGTTCACCACCAGAAAATTTTAAAAAACACAAGATATATAATTTTCTGTGGCTCAGACACTCTAAAGGTCAAAGTGACACATTGAGTGGATGAGGAAGGCTGTCCCTAATCTTCACACATCCCCTTTGAAGTCTGCACAGTGCCACGCTTGTGTTGTTGTTCAAACACAGAAAAAGTAGTCATGTGAAAACAAAGCAAACACAGTGATGCTCACCAACTTTCCCGGCAGAATACTGAACTGAAAACCCCCCAAACATTTGACGCCGTAGTGCGTTTGTGTTCACCTTAACGTCACTCGTGCCAGTGGAATTTAGATGGACCACGTCTGTTGTATCCTAAGCTTTGTGAATTTTGTGGGTGTTTTGAAACAGACAGTTTTCCTGGTAACTTTACAGTACTTTCCCTTAACATCCATTTTTCTTTGATGTGGTGACTTTTGCACTCCAGAGTCTTTTTTAAAAAAAATTATTTGAGAACTAAATAAGTGGATTATAGTGACAATGGTACTGCGTGTTGGAAACAGTGATGGCTGTGAAACTTTGAAAGCTGCAGCCTTAAATATATGAAGACTTCTTGAAACTTTTCTTCTGTGTATTATTCTACTCGAATGTCTGTTCACTTTCTGTGATGAAGACCCAGAGGTGCGTTTCCTGTGTATAATCAGAGCTGCACACAGTTTAAACTTTGGATGTTAGCTTCATGTCCTGTTACTGACCTGTGATTTTACTCTCGTCTGCAGAGAGCTGGTAGATCTGTATTTAATCGTTACGTGGGGCCATATAAAATAAAGTCTACACTTTGCCAAATTTTCAGACTTGATAGCACGACGACAACACTTAATGAGCTTTTGCTTCTCTGACTACTGACGTGGGCCACCGGCTGGTTCGGGACATATTTGGGCCTCATATATGATCCATTTTTCTGTCCAATAACACAGATAATAGATTATATCGATCAAAAACTGGATTTTTTATTTATTTTTTATAATTGAATCACTTTCAGGACCCTTATTAATTCAGTGGATTTTTAAAAAAGTTTTAGATTTACCTTTACCTATGGTCGCGAGCTTTAGTTAGTGACCGACAGAATACAGTTGACAACGCTTCTCTGAATTGAAAGAGCCAGCTGACGTAGTTCGGACTTCCAGGGGCAGATCCAGCACACTCAGGAGAGATTGTGGCTCTCGGCTGGTTTGGGAATTTCTCAAAGAGCAGGAGGTGGGAGCATCCATGCCCCTGTGCCCAGAGAAGCCGTAGACCATGCATAAACAATGAGCTGATGAACGCAGGGGAGAGAACTCATCAGAATATATTTGCTGAGCTATGTAAGAGGAATATTACAAACTCTAGATATATGAATTTTAAAATAAATATAAAGATGTTTTTCTTGCTGTTCTTTTGCATCCAGATATTGAGATCTCGCCCATATCTTAATGAGTCATCTTTGCAGGCTGACTGTGTTACGTGTAAGCCGCCCTTTCCACATTTCCATGCTAAGCAAACTGTTTAGCTGTAGATTCACGTGTTCAGGATTCTTTGGAGGAAATAAATGTCCCGTCCTTAAACGCTTCAGTCAACAAGCTCTGATGCGAGAGAGAGAGAAGCTTAAATATTACACTCCTGAGTTACTCCCAAATCTCTTTTTTTCTTCTTGTGGATTATTTTGTGTTTGTTGTGGCCAAACCAGCAGAGATTTTCATGCCTTAACTGTCTCTGCAGAGTGACGTAAGTGGTTGTATCAGATCAGATTTTCATTGTCTGAATAAAGAAATGTTTGAAACTGAAGGTGTTTTTTTTTTTTCCTTTCATATTTAGGGGTTTATATAGACCTTTAACACACACGCATATACTACCTGCCCATAAATCAACTGCAGTTTAAGACTTTTAATAGGAGCTTTGTCTTTATTCAGCTGGTGGGAGGTTGTTGAGGGGCCTGGACGATGATCCTGTTGCGTGTTTACAAAAGGTGTGTGTATGCATATCCATATGTGCTTGTGTGTGTCGATCTGTGGTTGGAAGTCGGCTCTTTATTTTATTTATTTTCTGACAGCGATGAGCTCAGTGCGTCTCTTCCTCAAACAGCACATATCAGGACGCACTCACCTGACGCTCATTTGCACAAACACACGCAGGTGTGTGAAGCAGAAGTATCCCGGACCTGAGGCAGAGAACGGGGAAGCATGGGTGAGTGCGCTTTGTGATAAATGAATAACTTGTTATCTTAAGAAGTAGCAAGTACAAACTTTACTATGCCACACATTACGCAGGGTTAACAGCTGGAATTGGTTAGGACTGTTTTTCTCACCAATTAATCTGCTC